ATGTTCTTGCAAAAAGAACCACGCTAAAAACACCAGAGATTATTGATAATTGAAGGTTTAAAGTGACCTCTAAAATAAACATAGAAGAATAGTAGTTCAGTGTAAATCTAAATAACTCTGAATTGCAGAATTGAACGGCTGATTTGTATGAGGCAGCTGCTTTTACCTGTTTCTGATTTGTTTGAGGACGCAACAGAGCAGCAGGAGCTCAATCACAGCCAGCACTAGAGCTGCCAGGGATAAACAGAAGACTTCGTAGGTCACCTGCTCAGGCACTGTCATGGCGATATTTGGAAAGCAGACAGCAGCAATGTGATGCAGATCTCCACACTAAACAACAGTTTGAGAGGTAGAAAAGGTAGAATAACACTGAACATGAACATTTTTTTTTAGATCTTTAATTCTTAGGATTAAATGTGAAAAGCCCTAAAATCAGAAAGCTCTACAATTTTTCATGACATGTGACGACACTTTATCTGGTGATGAAGATCATCTGATTCACCTGAAGGCCTTATGTTAGGGTGTTTTGGTTAAAGATTTATTCTGTTTAAGGAATCTATGCCCCAAATTACTTTTTTATGGGAAAAGTAATTTTTTTCCCTTTCCTCTTTTAAAGCTATCAATTTCATCCTCATGAGAAAATGTATAAAATTTTAATGGTGACAAAAGCATCAATGTGACTGAAAAGAAAGCAAAGACACGATGTAAAACATACAAAGATGCTTCAGTCACAGGCAGCAGTAAGAGGGGAGACACACTTTACAGTCTTAGTTCACTAGCCACTAATAGCCTGTAGTTGTTTTGATGAACAATGCACACTTCTACACTTGTAATCTAGTTTAAAATAAATATATTATCACATGTACACATATCAGCCACTGCTGTAAAGCATTTTCTGCTAATCTGTTTACGTACCAATGTCCGTTGTTGGTATTCTGCAACTGAAGTTTTTTCTGTTGCTTAGAAATGAAACTGTACCATTCTTAGAAAGTTGAAAGTAAACATTCCCAGGCCAGGACTCTTCTGATAGTCATGGTCAGTGACAATGATAATCTGCACATGGCTAATGTGAAAACATG